AATGTCCGGACCCATGGCTTTTTATTTACACATTTTTCCCTTTAACAAAGCAAACACACATATCAAAGGTAAGGTTTGGTAAACAATAAAGGATTATCAGGTTAGGGGAATTGCCTTCAGCTGTTCAGCCAGCAGCAGGTAATAGTATGCAGATTTTTCAGCCCTGCTGACTATCAAAGTCCATCAGCCTTCTGAGGACTTCTCACATTTATTATGCTAATTTCTGTTGGTCCTTGCCTCCAGCAGGATATCTCAAAACAAGGAGCAAGATGAAACCCTTATTGGGAAGCAATCAAATGTAAACTGAGCATTGCAGTGATAAACAATAATAATAATGACCACATGAGCAAGGGTCCTCCTGTGAAACTTCACAGACAAATAAACGTGTAAATATGTGGTCTGGTGACGGACAGAGATGCAGCATTGCTGTGGACGCATGCATCGCACACACAGGAAGAGCTAGAGCTGTCGTCTCCCCACCTTGGGCCAGGGTTCTCTTCAAACTGCAGTCCCAACTTTCAATGTCTGTCTCAAAGAGCAGCGGCCACACTCTCCTTGAAACCTTGCCAGCTCCCCTGCCAAAGACACACTGCTAAGTTGGCTCCATGTCTGGCGTTCGATAATTCGTTCTCTTTGTGCACGGTTCATCCCAGGTCTTAGAATACTGTTCTGCTTTTTCACCTTCAGGGCTTCACTGATCACGTATTCATTCCACAAACAGTCATTGGCCATTGACTTTGGACAGAGCTTGTATAAAGGCCTTAATCTTGTCCCCTGGTGTGAGCTCACTAATCCGTCCTCCTGCTCTCCCCACTCTGAGCAGATTATGGCCTCTGTTTTCCAGACTAAATGTTGGCATTCTCTATTGGAAAGACAAGCCAGACTCCTGGAAATCGCAGGGGACATGTAGGGTTCCCTCCCTGTTAGTCCAGCCTCAGGCCATCTAACCAGAGTGGAGCAGCAGCTTAAGGGGACCCAGTGAGATGAGGACCCCAACCCAGCAGACCCCAAAGGAAGCAACTAACACAGTTCCTAACATTGAATGCAATGGGTGAATGTATTTAGAATTCGTCTGCAAGAAATGAGATGTTTTGCACTGTTAGGACAAGAAAGGCATCTCAAATTTAATTCGGATTAGTAATCAGGAGCTGTGGCAGGCAGTGCCCTAACTATTCAGCAGAGAACCGAGGGGGAAGGAAGATGCAGGGCCTCCCTACCATCTGAGCCTTGACAAGACTTAGCAAAATCCAAAGTCTGCCAGAAACTGGCGAATGTCTATCAAGAGTAGAATGAATTAGAAACTATGGCCTTTCCTTCGACGTAGTATGAATGATGATGAGTGAAATGAAGTGAAAATGGATTTTGTAAAACAACATGTAACAACAAGGCTGAATCATACGGCTTGAAATGAAAGGAGCCAGACACACCCACTCAGAAAATTCATATTGTATGATGCTATTTATATAAAGTCCCAAAGTAGGCCAAACAAACCTGTGGTGTTCGAAGTACAAAGAGTGCTTTCTGCGGGGGAGGGGTGGGTAGAGATTGGGAGAAGACACCAGGGGGGTTTCTGGGGTGCTATTAGTGTTCTCTTTCTGGACCTGGTTGTAACATGAGCTTCTTCACCTTGTGGTAATTTGTTGAGCAGAATACTTACGATTTGTGCATGTCTTATGTACGATGGTCTTTAAAGCAATCCAAACCTTGGATTGGGTAGCCCGGCCCATGGGAATTGGGCTTGCAATTGCTACAGAGGGCCTCAGAACCCCTGCCTCGAATGCTAGGCCCATTCCTAGAGTCAGGGTAAATGATTCAAAAATCTGAGCAGAACATTAGGGCAACAGTGGCAAATGGGGCAGGACAAGGTAGGGACTGGACTCGCTTTGGGGATCACCTGATACCAGGTCTTAGGAGCAAGTCCCACAAAATGGTAGAGAGGAGATGGGTGGGTTTTAGGATTTGCTCAATTCTGGGTGCACCAAAATGTGTGCATCTGTAGACAGTGGAACCTCAGATCTGTTATTTTGAGCTCTCAGGAGGCCACACCACCTCTCTCCTTGGGGTCAGCATAGGCTATGGCCACTATGGGACCGTGGCTCTTATTTTCCACCCAGGGGTGTGGCTCTGATTTCTCAGAACAGCAAGCTACCAGGGCAAAAATTGCCAGATTTCTTTCTCAACTCTTGGCCTGGGTAAAGACACATGGCTTAATGGAAAAGGGCACTGAAAGAAAGCTTTTGGAAAGAGAGTGTCTGAACAGGCTCGGCACTGATAAAGAAGGGGGCGGTCTGAGGGGTCATACCACAGTGGAACATAGCAAGTGGGAAGGCATGTCTGAGCAAAATAATGGGAAGACGCTAAAGATGGGAGAGTCTGTGAGGATTCATAAGCGAGGAAGCCAGGCAGCTGGTCATGGGCAAGGTGTGGGAGCGGCTGACTTGCTACAAACCTGCTCTTTGATTCCAAATCTTCTATTTCCAAACCAGAGTCACACCCAGGGAGCTAGTGAGGAGTGAAGCCAAGATAATTGGCCTGGGGCAGAGGTGTGGGGCTGACTTTTTCCTAATCGGACTCCAAATATTTGGAGCCATTTGCCACTCTCACTCTCACTAAAAATTAGGTGTTCCGCTCCAACTGGGATGAGTCATCTTGATCAAGGTCCTGTTTGCAATGGGAGAGTGGATTCAGAGAGGCAGACACCAAGTTCAAATCCAGCCTAGTGTCCGTCAGCCATAAAACATGGTCAGTGCCAGCGGAGGTGGACCTAGTGCTGGGCAAAGCCAGCAGGTGAGATCAGGACTCACATTCAGCCCAGCTCCCTCAGGAGTGAGCAGCTGGGATTCTCTTTCTCTCTGAAGGTTTACGTACCCGACCGTGTTTGTTTTGCTGGAGGGCAGGATGTGGAATGAGTGGGAAAATCGTTATCGAAACACAATAATGACACCACAATTCGTACGTCTACTTACCCGGCTTAGGTATTGCAAGGCATCAGAAAGTGCGCATGGCTAGTAACCAAATTGCAGGATAGTCAAGGAAATCCTGGAGGAAAAAAAAAATGGTTTCTGTTTAGTTCAGAAAATACTTTCTGAAAGCATTTTTATATGAAAACGTTACCAAGGAGAGTTTCTTGGAGCCTGGATCAGTGCACCAGAAAGTATAAGCAATGACAGCATCTGCTCTTGCTGCCCCACCCTGTTCCCCATCCAGGCATTTCTTTTGCAAACCACGTGGCGTCCCAATTCTGAGGACAAGTCTGGATAGCTCGTGGCCTCGCCCCAAGGTGTGGTTTAAAACCTGTCGCTCTCAAGCCTTTTGGTGCAATGGCCCGAAGAGCAGGGCGCTCTCAATACAAGCGCATTTGCTCTCAATACAAGCGCACCACCACCATCTCGTGAGCCAGTGGGAGGAACTGCCATCCCCAAGACCAGCTAAGGTCACCAGATCTCCAGGACAAAGAACTTGTCTGGGGCCACTGGGCCCTAAACAAGCTGGGGTAGTGGCCGTCACGTGTTTGAGATGCCCAGGCACCAGCGGGGCGGGTAACTGAGATGACTGCTCTGAGCCCTGGCTCTCCTGGCCCCGTCCTGCCCCTCCTGGCCCCATCCCGCCCAAGGCTTGGCGGGCCGGCTGCTGTTGTCTCCGTTGTCTCTCCCTGCCGAAGGGGGAATAATCGCACCGGCGGTCACAGACTGTCCGCTGTCGGGATGATTCCTCAGATGTGCTCAGATTTGCCAGATTTCTCTCTCTGTGAGTTTACTTACTAACCTGCTCTGTGCTTCAGCTTCCGCATCTGTTCAAGGGGGCGACCGGTGGGGCTATGTGAGGGTTAAATGAAATGTAAGTAATTCGGGTGCTTAGCATAGTGTCAGCCCCTAGTAAGTGCTCCATGCATAAGCCCCTTATGAGTCTTTAACAGCTTGATTTCAGGAGATGATTCTGAGGAGTTAGATGGACCAGGTGGTTTAGAATGTAAAGTCTGGAAAAGCAAACTGGCCACCTCCCAGAGCCCCAATGTAAGAGAGTCACTGATGACACCCATATATCCCAACCCGCTATTGTCACTAAGACTTCATTTCTGAGAATGTTGGGGGAATGGGAGCAGGTGGACAAAGCTTTCAGGAAGCCCATTAGGTGGTGTCCAGCTGGTAAATGGGGAACCGCCCTCTGACCAGGAGAAATGGGCAAAGGCTGGCCTTTTGGGGGCTCATCAGATAATACTCAGTCCTTTCAAATGTCCCCAGATGAGCAGCCTTGCCCCTGGGTATTCTTCCGTTGGTTTAAAGAAAAAAAAATTTTTTTTTTTAAGGAAACTGTATGCTTTGTTTTTCCAAGCAATTGCACTCAGTTCATCAACTCTGTTGTTTTCTGAGAGCTGCGTGGAGTCTAAAGAAAAGGACATTTAGAGGCTCTGAAACTGGTTCCAAGGGTGAAATAATATTAATAATAAATTTCGTGAAACTCTCAACCCTGCAGGTTCAATCTTACTTAACACTCGGCACCCAGGGGACTTGAATTATTACTGGGTTTGTCATTTCTTGTTTATGGGGCTTTTCCAAAGGGGAGAGAGAAACCACATGGAAGCTCACCAAAGTTCACCGCGTGGTTCATGGCCATGCCTGTAGCCAAGATTTCCAGATCCTTCTCAGCCCGCACCTCCCAAGAAAACCGCCCCCCCCAAACTGTGTGGCATCAATGAGGAGTTGGAGTTGTGCCGAGTGCACCGACGTTCCACTGCTTTGCGTTTGGCTGGCAGAGCAAAGCCCTCCCTGGCGTGGCACCGCGTCCCTTCGCACCCACAGGGCGATGTGTTGTTAGGTGACTGCTGGACGGAGGAGAGCAGTTTTCTTTGGGGTTTGCGAAACGAGCCGACTGCCATGGCTGCCCTTGAATGTTGTCATCTGATGACCTCTGCTGGTGGGATTTCCCCCAGCGTGTGCCCATAGATGAGGGAGCAGGAGTCCTCTGCAAACACCCAGAATCAAGGGGCGCCTGGGCCCGACCCGACTGTCCTCTCTAACAGCTGGCCTGCCGCCCTCTCTTCCAGGCAGCCTCTGCCTCCCGCGGACTCAGAGGGCAGCCGATATGACGGGAAACGCGTGGTCCATGTGTGTCTGGGTTTTGCTCCTTTTTCTCCACATCCGTCTTCTGAACGGTAAGTAAGAGCCGCCCTGCTCTCTTTAGGGGGGGAGGGGAGGGGGTGTTTGCTGGGAGGATGGAGTGTCCTCGCGGTCCTCTTGCCATGCAGTTCTGAGAACTGAAAATGTGCTGCTGGGACGTTGTTTGCGGTGTATTTGGCACCATTCGTGCGTGCAAACTCTCAGTGCAAAGCTTGTCTCCGTGCGGACTTGCACCTTCATCCCGGGACCAGGGCTGCGGCCGGGCTGTCAGCCGCCAGCTGTGGAACCTCGAGCCCTAACCTAATCGCTGTGGGTTCCCACCTTTTCAACTTGAGGAGAGTGATGGTGCCTCCACCTCAAATGAAATACTGTCTGTGAAAAATCTTAGAAAACCTATAAAGAGAGAAGAGGGAGTGTTGTTGCCTGCCGGGAAATGGGTGCAGCCAACTAGACCACCTGTCCTAATGGGGCCAATGAGTTCACAGCTACCCCAGACTGTGCACCTGCATGTCTACCCTTCATATTTCTGGGTGTGTATACTTTGGGGTGCCCCTGCGTGTATATTAACTTCTCCATATGGGCCTGATTGCAACTGCTTCTCTGTGTGCACCGGTGTGGGTGTCTGTCTGCATGTGCACCTCTGTGTGTGGGTATATTTCTGAGTGTGTACCAGTGCGTACTTCTCTAAGCATGCACTTGAGTATACTTCTGTGTGTTTCTAATGCGGGCTCCGTGGACCTATGTGTGGGCCCGTGTGTAGGTGCCTACGTGGCTGTTCCTGGGTCTGTGTGCACTTCATGGAGGTAAGGCGACGGTCCATTCATTTTAACTGTCTCCTCGAAAGTGGGTGAAGGGAACATTTGATCACTTTACTGCCCTCTATGGAGTTTCTAGAGGCACTGCCAGCAGCCAGTGAAATGTGAGAGAGACTTTCAGAGAGAGAGCAAAGGGAAGCAGAGATGGGGAGAATCCACGGGGAAACGCTAAGAGCTCAGATCAGCAGTGGCCTGTCTGCTCATTTCTGAGCCACAGGGCTTGGGTTTTTAAATAAACTTTTCTTTCTCCTTCACACACTCCTCCCCAGCCATGACGAGAACCAAGCAAAACCCAAGCCCTCGCATCAGCCTGTGACATTGCCCGAGAGGACGAGCAGTGTGACAGCCGTGGGCAGCGCGAGCGCCAGGCGGGCTGGAGGGCCGTTGGTGGGGCTTGGAGCTGCGGTGCGGCTCAGCTGACCGTCAGCCCAGCGGCCTCGGCCCAGCCTGTGAGATGCCATTCACTAAATCCTGCTTTCTGACCAGTGTTGCCTGGTGCCCACTCGCCCCATCTTTTGGATCCACTGCTCTGCTAGTTCTGGCTCAGGAGCCAGCATGAGGGGTGAGGAGAAAGAGAGGGAATCCCTGCCCCCTAGTGGCTGAGACCCGCACCTGTTAGCTCTCCTTCCAGCTCCTGACTCCAAAGGAAGCGTGCAGGCTTCCAGCTCATGGAAAAGGACTGACAGGGCCAACTCTCAGGGCCACACATGCCCTCCAGGACCTGGCAGATAAGGAAGAGAGGAGGGGCCAGCTCACCAAAAGCTTCAGGGTTTAGGCAACTAAAACATTCTGTTCCCTTGACATTGTATTTTCCACGTCACCTCTTTCAGACCTTCTAGCTTCCAGTTGGGCCTGGGCAGTCATCATGGTAGCTCCGAGCCAGGAGACCAGCTCCCCACTCCCCCACTTCTCTCTATGGTTCCTGTCTCCCAGAAGCCATAGCATTGCAAGGAAGCCCATCGTCCCTCACCACATAAAAGCCCAAGGAGAGAGAGGGAAATGTGAAAGAAAAAGACACTGACAACCAGGATTCAGAAATGGGGGTGGGGGCAATGGGAGATGTACTGTGAGATAGGGTTACAGGTCAAAGTGGAGTGGAACTAAGGGAAAATGAAGGGGAAAGGAAGGAAAGGAGACGGGAAGGGGGAGGGGAAGGAGGAAGCTGAGGGAGGAGCACCCGTAACACAATGAATCACAAAAGTCCCTTGTGAGGAAATGACAGAAAGATGTAGATCAATGAGCAGAGTGACAAGTGCCAGAGAGCACTGTGGTAGCAAAGGGGGAGAATTCATTTTACTGCCACCCTCATGCCGTGGGCGGGTACCAGCTGCATAGACTCCATGGGCTTACAGAAGGGAGCACACTCCTCAGCCAATCCTACTTCTGATGCTCACTCTCTGTTGGAATTTCACAGTTTGTCACTTGATCCTAGATTGCTGTTATCTCCATCTCACACAGTACACACACCACCACCACCACCACCACCACCACCACCACCATCTCTCCATTACCACTGCAAAGCTCTCTCCCTTTCTCGCGCTCTCTTCCTTCCTCTCTCTTTCATCCTCTCTTTCTGTTCTTTTCTCTCTCTCTCTCTCTCCCTCCCTCCCCATGCAGCCAATAAGGGGCAGCCCACGGAGGAGGGTTGTTAGATGCTAGCGCTTTGGCATTTCTGAGCCCCCCACCCCTAGGTCTCTTCACCCAAGACCCCATCACTGGCAGAGTCCCATAAACCTGCTTTTGTCACCAGCAGGATGATCGAATTCTTGAATGGACCTTGAGATTGATTCCAGTAGCTTCTGGCTTTTTCTAGGACAGTCACCTCCTGGGAAGCCCAAGATCTCGAAATGCCGCTCCACCGAAAAGGAGACCTTCTCATGCTGGTGGAAGCCGGGGCCGGACGGAGGACTTCCCACCAACTACACGCTCACCTACCGCAAGGAAGGGTGAGTGCGCCCGCTCTCCAGGCAACGCAGGGCTGCTTCTGAGTGAGAACTCCCGCACGGCCCCGGGTGGCCGCTAACAAGGCTCTTTCTTCCGGGGAAGGGGCCCCAGCATCCACGTCCACATTCTCCTGTCATGTCCGTGAAGCGCCAGCTCAATGTGCGTCAGCTCCTCCGCCAGCTCAGCAATCCCACGTAGTGGCCCCATATCCGGAGTTTTGCTTTCCGGGGTTTTAGTGACTAGCGATCAGCCACAGTCCAAAAGTATTAAATGGATAATTCCAAAAAATAAACTGTCCCTACGTTTTAAATTTTGTGCCATTCTGAGTCACGTGATGAAATTTCACACTATCCTGCTTCATCCCACCTGGGATGTGAGTCATCCCTTTGTCATCCCCTCTAGCTACCCGCCTGTTAGTCACTTGGGTTATCAGATCCATCAAGTAGCCCGATAGTAGCCTAACCCAGAGCTTTCACACATGCCTGTGTCCTCCTCATTTCATCTCATCACATCAGCCTGTATCACCTCACTTCATCAGAAGGGTGAGTACAGTAGCATAAGGTATTTTGAGAGTGAGAGAGAGAAAGAGAGAGAAAGAACATTCATATAACTTTCATTATAGCATATTGTTATAATTGTTCTACCTTAATATTAGTTATTGTTGTTAATCTCTTACTGTACATAATTTATAAAATTAAACTTTATCATAGCTATGTATGTATGTATAGAAAAACAACAGTATATATGTGGTTCGACGCTCTAGCATTCCAGGCATCTACTTTGGGTCTTAGAACATAGCCCCATGGATCAGGAGAGACTACAATAGCAATGTTTCCAATTGCCTGTCCCAGACTTAGGCTACAGCCCAAGGTCCCATATAATTGTTGGCTGAGTGTTAGTTCATTTCAAATGCTTATCTGTAAGCCTGCTGCTATTCATAATTATTTTAGTAATAATTACTTTTGCAACATAAAAAGACAACCATGGAACATTAGCTTTTCAAACTAGTTTTGTGTCCAAGAAAATGAAAAGCCCTCTAGGAAGGTGAGGTTTTTCCCTTAGGAAATTGCTAATCCCAGATCCTTGATCTCCCAGAGGGTGTATTTGGAGCCCAGGTTGCAGGGCGGACTGAAAGAGGTCATCTGTGGGTGAGGATTCCATTACCCCTCAGGGAGAGCCCCCTGGAAATCCAGGCAGAGCCGTCTCCTTCCCCAGGGAAGCACCACTTACCGGTAGCAGCAGCTGGCCCGCCGCCCAGCGCCTGCACGCTGTGTACACAGAGCTGTCAGCCTGTCTGGGGCCCACAGGATGTCAAGTCACCCATTCAGGAGCTCCACTGGCAACCCGAATGGGACGCTCCTCCACACCTGTGGGGGGCGTCTTGCGTAGAGGCCCCCAAGGCTCAGGAGAACAGACTGATGAGCCTCTTGGGCCTGAAATACCTTTCTTCACAGTCACATCACTGTTGCTGACTGGTGCAATCTGAAATGTGCTGGCATCAGCTTTTATTCTCTTGCACCTTTTTTAAATGAAATGTAATTCAATCTACATGTGCAACGACTGCTGCACGTGCATGCCCCCTGAGTGTTAGGTGCGGGGGAAGCTCCCTGTTTCCTGAGATGACAGAGGGGCGGGCCCTCTGGCATGGTGGTGCCTTGGCTGTTGAAAGTTCCAGCATATATTGGCAGGGGGCATATGTCACAAAGCCCACCAGATACCATAGAAAGGAAGGGTTGATGAGAAGCAGAGTCAGCAAGCTCTGAAGTGACACTTCCACCCACTTCCCCAGCATTCTCTCTCCCAGGGCACAAAGCTTGGGGGTGCCATTCTTCAGCGCTGATCCCCAAAATCCAGTGGTATTGATCTATTAAGAAAAAAAAACTAGGCTCTTTTTACTACTTTCTTACTCACTCCTAGTGTATAATATGTTGCAGAAATCCGTTCATCTATGAATGTCCAGACTACAAAACCAGTGGCCCCAACTCCTGTTACTTTGACAAGAAGCACACCTCCATTTGGACAATGTACGTCATCACAGTAAACGCCACGAACCAGATGGGAAGCAACTCCTCAGATCCGCATTATGTGGATGTGACTTACATAGGTAAGGGGATGGGTGAGGAATTTCTTACCCCATTACAGATCTACCAAGAGTCAAACTTCATTTGAGTCTTCCTGGCTTATGGATGAATCACCAGAAAGACAGATGAGAAAATTCACACTATTCTCATCAACTGAGAATTTTTACGGAATCATTCATGACAGTGTTTGGGGTCCTTGTGTTTCTCTTCTTCCCTTTGACCTTTCTCCCCATCCCCATGCACCCAACACTCTTATCAATCCTTCCCTCCAGCCCTCCTCCTGCAATCAATGCCCCCTTCCCCCGAGGCGAGCTGGGACTTCTGTTCTCTCTCCTCCTGGAGGACAGAGCGGCTCACCAGAGTAGCAGCTCTTGGAGTTCATCTGCTTCTACACCCACAGGACGAGCCCCAACTGCTTTGCCCAAATTGAATTCTCAATGCACACATACTTCTTGGCAACTGGAACTCTTCTTTTACAAATAAAGACTTTGGGGAGTAAAGCATGCTGCTTGAACCGCAGACTGAAGGCCACAACCACACGTACCAGGTTTGCGGACCCCATTAGCAAAGCAAAACAAAATCAACCCCAGAGCTGTTTCTTGCTTTGCATGATCCACATTGAGCTGCAGGGCAAGAAGGCATCACTGCAGTGGCCTCTGTGGTTTAGCAGGGATGACAAAGGGAATCTTAGGACAAGACATGAGTTAGCCAGGACGGGGGTCAGCCCTCATCTTTGATAATAATCTAGGGAGAAGTATTAGACTCAAGGTTACCTAAGATTTACCTAACGCCACCCAACAAGGGAAATTAGGCTGGGAATCTCAAATACGTGCGTGCATGTCATTGCATTGTCATGTTATCAGTGGCTGATAACACCAACTGGCTCATATTTGAATGTGTTCTGCCCCCAGCAAATCATTGCAATGAGCATGGAGGTAGAAAGTGAGTTGAATCTTAGTTTAGGAAAATCCACAAGGTAACCCACTGACAGGTCAGAATACAATAAATTTCAGTCATATAGATTTACTTGAGATATGAAGTCTTTAAGATGCTAAATGCCAAATAATTTCTTCTTTATGGTTCTTTCATGAATTGTGTTGCCCTCAAAGATTCAACTAGTATTTGAGAGCAAAACAGTGAAAGCAAGAAAAGTTTCTAAAATGAGTAACTGCTTTATCACTTGAAAGCAGTGTTTCTCAACTGGGGTCTATTTTGCCTCCCACAGATATTTGGCAATGGCAGGAGACACTTTTTTAAAAAAATATATTCTACTGATTTTTTACAGAGAGGAAGGGAGAGGGATAGAGAGTTAGAAACATTGATGAGAGAGAAACATCGATCAGCTGCCTCCTGTACACCCCCTACTGGGGATGTGCCCGCAACCAAGGTACATGCCCTTGACCAGAATCGAACCTGGGACCTTTCAGTCTGCAGGCTGACACTCTATCCACTGAGCCAAACTGGTTAGGGCCATTTTTTTTATTATCATAGCCCAGGGAGGGGAGACAAGGGCATTACTGATATCTAATAGGCAGAGACCAGAGATGCCGCTCAGCACCCCACAATGCTCAGGTTGGCCCCGACAACCAAGAATTACCTGATCCAAAATACAAATGGTGCTGAGGGGGAGAAACTGCTTTAAAGAATTCACCCTGGACATTGTACATGGACTTCCGCACAATATTTTTTTTGATCAGAGGCATTTCTCAGAATTGTTTAACTTAAAACTTATATTGAATAACTGATATTTGTTTAGTGAGTGCATATAAAATAATCTTGCTTAGGTATTTACTTAGTAACATAGAAGCATTAGGATTAGTGGCAAATTTTCTGACGTTCCTTTTGTAGGTAATTGCAGGTTATAATGTCAAGTACACTATAGCTACATTCACTCTAATGCCACCTGGTGTGGAGAGTGGGCTGAGGAGGTAATCAATGAAGAGAGAAAGTATTACTGACTAGCAAGACTGCGACTAGGATAAGGCAAGCCAGGGTTCTAGGCATCTCACTCTCAATGAGGCACTCACAGACTTGTACTTGAAGGAAGATGAGAGTAAGTGCCTCCTTATTTTTTTTTAACATGGTAATATACACATAACAGAAAATTCACCATTTTAACCATTTTAAAGTATGCAATTTACTGCTCAGTATTAGTTCATTCTCAATGTTATGCAACCATCACCACTATCTAGTTCCAGAAAACTTTCATGAATCCAAATACCTATTAAGTAGTTACTCCAGATTTCCCCCCTTACTCCAGCCCTACTAATCTGCATTCTTTCTCTACAGATTTGCCTATTCTGGGTATGTTATATATATATATATGGAGTCATACCGTAGGTGGTCTTCTTTCACATAGTGTAATGTTCTCAAGATTCATCCATGTTATACCCTGTATCAATACATACTGCCTCCCTCTTTATGGCTGAATAATGTTTCATTCTATGGATATTGTTTAGCCATTCATCAGTTGATGGACAATTGGGTTGTTTTCACCTATTGGCTATTGTGAATAGAGCTGCTATGAACATTCATGGATGAGTTTTTGTTTGAACACCTGCCTTCATTTCTTTTAGTATGTTGGCTAGGACATGAAATTGATGGGTGACGTGACTTAATATTTAACCCTTTGAGTAAGTTCCAGACTTTTTCCACAGCATTGCACCATTTTACATTCCCACCAGCAATGTATGAGGGAATGTCTCCAACACTCTCATCTGTTATTTTGCATTTCTTGAATTTCAACCATCCTAAGTGGGGATGAAATGGTATCTCGTTATGATTTTGATTTGCATTTCCCAAATGACTGATGACACTACTGGTCTTTCATGTGCTTGTTGGCCATTTGTTCCTCCTGAAACTTTTCATCCTACATATCTCCCTTGCTTCAACCTGATCCCAACTCTGCTGACCAGCACCTGACAGCAAATACAAGGTGTCTCTTAAGCAGGGTGGAGTGAAATAGGAAGTCATATAGTTTTGTGTTCAAATACCCCTTTTACTAAATATGGGATTTCTCTCCTATTTTCAGTTGAACCAGACCCTCCAATAAACCTGATTTTGGAAGTAAAACATCCAGAAGACCAAAAACCGTACCTGTGGATAAAATGGCTTCCGCCTGCCCAGGTCGACGTAAGATCCGGCTGGCTCACACTACAATACGAAATTCGATTAAAGCCTGAAAAAGGAAATGAGTGGGAGGTGAGTCAACCACGAGCCTTTGGAAGGAACCATGTCCTTTGACAAAGCTAAACCCTTGCTACGGGGAACAGGTCTTTCCTCCCAACTACTGGGCATCATGTTGCCATGCTGATGTCGAAGGGCCTTATCCCCTCCCTTGGGGTTGAGGGGGTGCATCTTCACCGCTCTCCCAAGGCTAATCCCTTCTTTGCACTGAACAATCTCTTGCACCAGGTTTCCAAACCACCTCCTTCAGGATATCATAGATCTAGACACCTATGAGAGTACTTCAGGGGCACTAAGTGGGAGGAAAAAGCCTCAGTGTAAGCAGTCAATGGCCAGTGGCATTTTTATTCACTTCAAATTATTTTAATGTAAAGAAATAATACAAGAGGCCCTGGCCGGGTAGCTTTTTGGTTGGCGTGTTGTCCTGATATGCCGAAGTTGTGGGTTCAGTCCCCAGGTGGGACACATACAAGAAGCAGTCAATGAATGAACAAGTAAGTAGAACAACAAAATCAATGTTCTCTCTCTGTCTCTCAAATAAATGTTTTAAAAATAATAAGTAATACAATAAATTAGAGGCATTCTGATATTCCACTTTACGTACTTTGGGTCAGTGGTCGGCAACCGGTGGTCCACAGACCAGTGGCGGTCCGTGAGGTTTGAATGGTTGGCAACCACTGCTTTAGGTTGTCTCTTTTAGAAAGGAAACATTTTTAAACATAGCCCAAATAAAATCAGACATTGCAAATTAAATAAAATTTTTACATAATTCAAGTAGCCTGTCCGTATTTTAGTTCCCCCAATTGCTCAAAAAAATGTCTTTAACAGCTAGTTTGTCCAGACCAGCATCCATCCAGGACAATGCACGTGACTGGTCATTAGTTATGTGCCTTCAGTCTCAGTGTACTCAGTCCCGTAGAATGCTCTCAGTTTTGCATTAATCTGATTAATTCTTTGTGAGGTCATTTTACTAATTTCTCTGCCCCTATATTTCCTGTAACCAGACATTAGATCTAAAGAATTGATTAGATTTGGGTTGGACAGTTTGGGGCAAGAGGACTTCAGAGGTGACATTATATTACTTCCTATCACATCATGTCAGGGGACACAAACCATCTGGTTGACCTCATACATGATGCTAAAACTGACCCCTGGTTTAGGGGTCAACCTGGCGCCTGAATTGTAAAGTCACATTTAATTTGTGCACTATTGCATCAACATACGTCCCAGTTCTCTAGTGGCTTTACTTGAATTATCCTTGAATCAATTACTTCATTGGGGTTCACAAAATAACTATTTTACGATGTTATTAACTGGTCACCTTCTGTAAAGTAGAATTTTGAAGGCAGTGAGGAGGGTGCGGAATATTTGTCTTTCTGAAATAGAGTTCCAAATGGAGAGGTAGATAGAAAACCTGTTAATTTTTGTGTGAACAATGTTTCAGAGTGAAAAGGGATGGGCTGAGAGGGTAGAATGGTGAGAGCAAGGTATCTACTAAGTCTGATCGCCTGGCCTCACTCCTCCTTTTCCCTTAGACTTCTCTAAGGGAAAAGTCTGTTTCTTCAGAACATAAGTCAGAGTGACTTCTGTTTTCCTTGCTTTTCCTTAGGTTCATTTCACTGGGCAGCAAACTCAGTTTAAGATTTTCAGCTTATATCCAGGAAAGAAATACCTTGTCCAGGTTCGCTGCAAGCCAGACCACGGATTCTGGAGTGAGTGGGGCCCAGAAGGCTCCATTCACATACCTGATGGTGAGTGCCTTGGCTCTGTGTTGCTTATATCCTTAAATATTTTTAGAATAGAATGGATATAGTAAATTTGGGTGTCATCACTACTAACAGAGAAACTATTTTGAGCCTTACTAAGAGGGATGAGTAGAGGTACGAATATCGTTTCTCTACCCAACACAAAGACACTTGAAAGTGTAGCAGTGTTGTGGTCACTGTCGGTGAGGACCAGTTTCTAAAGCTGCAGACGTGGGCTTGGTGTGCATCAGAGGGCTTGATGGTCATTCTGCCTTCCCCGTCTGCCCATCCTTGTCATTTAGTCAAGGTCATCATCTAGTTCTCCCAGAATTTGTAAGGTGGTTTTCCATCGTAAGGGCCTGAGCTGAACTGATTTTCAGTCTCTCATGTCAATTCCACGTTGGTCTCTTAGTTACGGCACAGTAAATGAGAGGCCCATGATTCTAACAGCGCCGTTAAACATGGCGCCTTGGATTTCAGAAGAGAACAATTCATCGTACATGTCCAAAGTACTTTACGGTTTACAAAGTCTTCCCCTTGTTTGGTCCTCCCAACCCTCTGAGGTATTCAGAGAGAATAGACTTGCCATTAAGAAGTAAAAGTGAGGAAACTGAAATTCGGTGAGGTTAGAAGTCTTGCCCAGAACCAAGTGGCAAAGCCTAGTGCTTGTGACAACTTGCCTGGCCAGAATATCAGGAGTTGCATTGGTTTGTCGTACTGGAAAGAGCTGTGGGTCATAAGATGTACATGCATCCTGTCCAGCCCTGGCTCTCACCATATAAAAGCACAGGGTCTACAGGCAGAAGGCCTGGATTCAAATCCCAGCCTACAACTTTACAGTAACTTGCTAAAGAGTATATCATGCTTGCAGTGGTTCTCAACCTTCCTAATGCCGCGACCCTTTAATACAGTTCCTCATGTTGTGGTGACCCCCAACCATAAAATTATTCTTTTCTTTTTTTTTAATTTTTTTTTATTGCTTTAAGAGAGGAAGGGAGAGAGAGAGAGATAGAAACATCAATGATGAGAGAAAAATCACTAATTGACTGGCTCCTGCCAACCCCCTACTGCAGATCAAGCCACACCCCAGGCATGTGCCCTTGACCAGACTCGAGCCCAGGACCCTTCAATCCACAGGGCAATGCTCTATCCACTGAGCCAAACTGGCTAGGGCTCACCTGTAAAGACTTTCTTTCTTTTTTTTCTTAAAGTATTACAAAGAATATTATACATGTTTCCTTTTTTCCCCCTCATTGACATTCCCCCGGCTTCCCCCACCCCCCAGTGTCTTATGTCCATTAATTATCCTCATATGCATGCATACAAGTCCTTCGGTTGATCTCCTACCGCCCCCCCCAACCCCAGGCTGTCCCAGCCTCACAGAGGCCGTCTCAGCTTCCCAGGGGCTGTCCGAGCCTCACAGGGGTCGTCCCAGCCTCACAGGGGCTGTCTCAGCCTCACAGGGGCCGCTTCAACCTCACAGGGGCTGTTTCAACCTCACCGGGGCCGTTGCAACCTTACCGGGGCCATTGCAAGCTCACCGGGGCCATCTCAACCTCACTGGAGCCTTCTCAACCTCACCGGGGCCGTCTCAACCTCACCGGGGCCATACCGGGGCCATTGCAAGCTCACCGGGGCCATCTCAACCTCACTGGAGCCTTCTCAACCTCACCGGGGCCGTCTCAACCTCACCGGGGCCGACTCAACCTCACTGGGGCCATCTCGACCTCACCGGTGCAGTCTCGACCTCACCAGTGCCGTATCGACCTCCCCGGGGCCGATTCAACCTCACCAGGGCCGTTTCAGCCTCACCGGGGCCGTCTAAGCCTCACCGGGGCCGTCTCAGCCTCACTGGGGCCAATTCAACCTCACCAGGGCCATTTTGACCTCACTGGGGCCGTCTCGACCTCACTGGGGCTGTCTCGACCTCACCGGGGCCATCTCAGCCTCACCGGGGCCATCTCAACCCCACCGGGGCTGTCCCACCCCCAACGGAGCTGTCCCAGCCTCACCAGGGTCACCTCAGCCTCACCAGGGTCACCTCAGCCTCACCGGGGCCGTCCCAGCCTCTCAGGGGCTGTCCCAGCCCCACGGGGGCCGCCTCGGCCTCACGGGGGCGTCTCAGCAACACGAAGTTTGGCATTCTGTCCTTTGTTAGGCGGCTCCTTGCTGGACAAAATCTCCAGGCGTTCCTGGTGGCTGAATATCTGGTATGCTTGCTTGGATTTCATTTTCTACCAAGTGCACAGACTGCCTATCTGCCGTCTCCCAGCGTCCCATGTGAGACTGGATCTGGTGGACCTGCCTGTGCGTTTGCTGGTACAGCGGTTCCACATCACCGGCCCAGCCGGGTCCAACTCCGGCTTCCTCCGAACCTGATTCTGCTTCTTGAGTGTGTCCCTTATGTATGCGAGGAGTTGAAACCTGCATTCTGCTAGGCTGGGCTGCAAAAGCGCCAGTGGTTCTCTTTGTGCCACTAGCACAGCTTGGGTGGGGCTGTAAATTGAGTAGGGCAGGGGTCCCCGGGAATCACCAGGGCGGGTCCAAGGGCAATGGCATCTCCACATCTCCTCGCCTCTCTGCAACTCAGCGTCTCGTGTCCCCGAGTGCTGGCGAGCAGTTCCATGAGACAGCCACTCTCGCTCTCCGGCCCATTGCAAGGCCGTCCCGCCTCTCCCCGTAGGGGTCTGGGACCTCAGAATTCCACCCCAAATAAGCTCAGTGGGCTCGAGAGTCTGCACCCCTTCCAATTGAAAAAAGCCACGCATCCAGTTGCAGCCCGCCTGGCGCACGATTCCGTACCTCCATTCTTGGAGCCTCTGCACAACATACTCAGTCTCAATGCTCTTCTTTCTTTCCTTCCAGTTGTAGAGCTTCCGTTGGGCCAGCTTTCCCATGGTTCTGAATGATAACTGTTTGTTTTATAGTTGGTAGTCTCGATGTTGTTGTGGGAGGCAGCACGCACAGGTCTGTACCTTACGCCGCCATCTTGGTTCTCTCCATAAAATTATTTTCGTTGCTACTTCATAACTGTAATTTTGCTACTGTTATGAATCGTAATGTAAACATCTGGTATGCAAGATGTATTTTCATTGTTTGCGACCCACAGGTTGAGAACCGCTGCCTCATCTTTGTTTAGAGCCTCATCTTTACATGCAAGACAATATACTAATATGTAAAGAGCTTAACACTGTCAATGGCTTTTAGTAAGAACTTAAGTAATACCTTTTATTATTACTGCAACTGACCAGGTGACCTTGGCTTTCCTCTTTAAGTAGCAAATAAAATAACATGTAAAAGGATTTTAAAAGTATAGGTTACTATAAAAATACATGGAATATATTGAAATGTAATAAATTGGAAAAATTACCCAGCATTAATGTTACTCTGGATTTCTGTCTAAATCAAAAGAGGTCTATGAAGTGGGGGTGACGGAGGGAGGAGACTTACCTTCAAAAGTTTCATTCATTAGTTTTGTTTGTTCGCTCGTATTTAATGATGCTATATGTGATGAGAGCTCTCTGGCTGTTTCTTTTTAGATTCCACCAGTACAGACACCACCGTGTGGATCTTTGTGGCTGTGCTTTCTGTTGTCGTCTGTCTGATTATGGTCTGGGCAGTGGCTATGAAGGGCTATAGGTACTTCATTGTCTATCAACCTTCCTCCCACCATGGTTTATGGGATAATGATTTTTTTTTAAAGGCAAAAGCAAGATGATGGAAACTTACAGATAATTCAAGCACCTGATTTTAGCCATTAGCTCCAGTGTGCTACCCATAGGAAAATCTTGTCAGTACCAGCAAAAGTCGCAGAATGAACTCATTTGAAGCTGGTGCTCTTTCTATCAAACTGAGGCTTGCAGTTGGAAAATAGTAAAAAAAAATTAAAAAATAAAAAAAAAAAATCTGGCAAGAGCAGCTAAAATCAAGAGGAATAGCTAGTGCAAACAATCCACTAATTTCCAAATCAGCCCCTCAGTCAGCCAGAGCTAATTTTGATGTTGGCCTCTATAATTATTGTCTTCACCACTGATTGTCAATTTCATGTAGCCCCGCCCCCAGTTTTAACTCCTTTCTACCATAGTCCGTGTAGCAGCTATTTATAGGTAATACTAACCTTTTAGAAATTACAAAGTGGTCAAATGAGTCATTTTTTCTATCTCACGCATTATTTTACAGCATGCTGACCTGCGTCTTTCCACCAGTTCCTGGGCCAAAAATAAAAGGACTGGATGTTCATCTGCTGGAGGTAAGTGCCAGAGGTGGAGCATGTCTCCTGCCTCACCGTCTACAATAACGACCTTTACACGTGCACCTTTACACAGTCCCCATCCGTTCAGCCCGGCTGCCTCAGTCACCCTTGCCCCGCTGTCCCTCCTCTTTAGAGAAAGATGCGTGAGGCATGAGGGTCCTTCCTAGGAGACATTAAATGTCAGAGGGAAGAGAGAGGAAGCCAAGAAAATGAGACAACACATAGTCATGCTTTCTAGACTTACCAGGTCTATTCATAAGCACAGATGTGAACATTCTGTACAAATAATCAATTTAGAAAAAAAGGTGAATATTTTGTTTAATACAAAGGAGGGACCTGCCACCCCCCTGCCCTCCATCACACTTTGATGCAAGCTTTCACTTGAATGTTCTTTAAAGAAGGTCATGGTGACAGAATAGCCTGCTGCAGGGTTCGCTCTGTTTGGGCCCACAGTTGAGACTGGGTCAGTGCAGTGGGCTGGTGTCTGCCAGGGCCCATTTGGGCTGATTCAAGTGGGAATTAAATGTAAGTGTTTTGAATGAAAAGGTGGGTTAGAACATTTTAAATTTCTCTGCAGGTTGACATATTTAGTTTCAATTTGACCTTAAGTTTAACACCGATATTTATACAAGCAATTGCCTTTGCATTATATCATGTGACCTAGCCACTGTGAGGCTAACAGTACAAGAATGTGAGAAGTGAGTCCCCGAGAATTTGGCTTGACTACATTCACTTTGACTGCAAATACCATAGCAGGGACTCAGGCCCTGAAATGTGGGTTCCTCATTCAGTGCTTTAACCCTACTGTCCTTTGAAAACCAGCATGAACATCTCAACTAACTAAATTAAGAACTACTTGACCTTATAGTCACAGGAGCTTAATGAAAAAATAACTTCTTTTTGTGTCACAAACAAAAAAAGAGTCATTGTTTTCTCAATCACATGACCTCCAATCCTCAGAAGAACCCTCCCATATGACACTGTTATTCCCATTTTACAAATGGAGAAGCTGAGAACCATTGAGCAGCTTGTTCAAAGTCAATACCCATTAGTAAGTGAAAAAGCCAAGATTTAGGCACAAGTACCTGACCTAAGTCAGAGGATCAGGAAGAAGAGTGGAGAGTAAGAGGAGAAGGCAAAAGGAAGAGCGAGGGAGAAAGAGAAAGAGGAGGGAAAGGAAGAGCAAGAGGATGGGAAAATATGTACTAGCAGGAAGAGAGGGGGAAATGAGTAGAGAAGAGAGAAAAGGAGGATTGAAGAGGAAGGGGGCAGAAGGAAGGAATACAGAAGTAGGAAGAAGAAATGATGAGAAGCAACTTAACTGCTTCCAGATTCTAGAAAGTGGTGGAGGAGGTTAGGAGACCAGCAGCCAGATCTTAGAGCAGCCGTGGGCAAACTACGGCCCGCGGGCCGGATCCGGCCCTTTTGGAATGAATAAAACTAAAAAAAAAAAAAAAAAACCA